ACCTACATTTTACTTCCCAGCTCACTGCATAATGAGAACTGCAGGCACTCAGTACCACTGATCTTCAAGTTACTTAGTCACCTGCTTAAGGATGAATTATGCTTAACTAAATTCAGGTTCTTTATTTTGAAGCATTTGCTTAAATTCCTCTTATAATCTTTTAAAAATGTTTTACAAGATACTAGTTTTCTTTAATTGAAAGCATTAAGCATAATTACTACATTTTGCATTCAAACACGCAGACCCTGCAATAGCTGATAGGCAGTTTTTCTTCTTTTTCATTAAACCAATACAGAAGTGATATAACTCTGCTTCAAACTCTTCTTTTGAAAGATTGATTTTAGTTCTTCACTAAGTTTTGCACAATGGTCCCAAGCCTGTTTTAGCTGTGAAGCTGCCTAAGCATTCCACTCTAACATTGCTGAAATTACTTACCGTTATTCAAACACTTGAAATTCCCTATAAATTTTACATATTCGTATGTAGGTTGCTCTTTTGGATCTATTGTTCCTCGCAGCATATGGCAACAGAATTCTAGTTGATTTTTTGCTGAGAAAAGAATAAACAAATTAATAGGCTACATGTTTGATGAAGCACACAGGCAACGTGAAATGGAAAGCAGGAATAATTAAGCTGCATTCTTATTGAGATACTCTTAAGTGTTGTGATTACAAATGGCTACAGCCCCTGCTTTTAAACAGCATGATATTAACTAACCTAAAGAAAAGGAGAACTCCTTTAGAATTTGTGCATGAAGGGCCTGAATGCTAATGACACAGACACCCCCTGAAAACTAGAGCTATTTCAAAAAAGCAGCTGCCCTGAAGGTTACTACAGCATGCACTTCCAAAACCCATTAGGCTGCTATGTTTTTATTCTTGCAACTGCTACAGGTGTCTAAATAGAAGCTATAGAAACAAGATGAACATTTCTAACACATGGGAAACCCTGCTTTCCCAGAAATGGCTGAACACCCGCCTGCCGATAGGAAGTAGAGAAGTAATTACTTATTTCGCTTTGCTTGTGCACGTGGCTTTTGCTTTCCCTATTAAACTGCCTTTATCTCAACCCACAAGTTTTCTCACTTTTACCCTTCTGATTCTCTCCCCATCCCGCTGGGGGGAGAAAGCGAGCAGCTGTGTGGGGCTGAGCTGCCTACCTGGCTTAACCCGCAATAACTATACTTACATTTTAAGTATTCTGGTGTCAATGAATCACTTTCCAGCAGATGAGAAGACAATATTTTATAAATTTCTGAATGTTCTCCCTCTGGGATAAAATTAAATACACTCTGATCCACAAGATCAGACTGAAAGAAAAAAGATTTAATAAGCATTAAACTAATGCAAGATGTACAATGTCACAAAGGCTACTATTTTAATGCAAAACAATTCCACAGTTCAGAAGAACGTTACTGACTCAACCAAGCCACCTGCTGGAATACACATGAATATTTTGCAAGAAAAAAAATCTCACTTTGATCTGTCTTAACTTTGACACCATGAACCATTTAATGAAAAACACCATGAGTGCAGCAGATATACATACACATTAAAGTACAATGGAGCTTGTACTAACCTCCCTGGATGCAACAATTCCAAGTAAAGGAGCTTTTGAATTAGAAATTACAGGGTATTTTTTCTAGGGCACTGTAACTTGTCAGTGGCATCCAATACATTGAAATGGTATCTTGGAACAAAAGACAGCCCTTCCCTACATCATATAGGTTATTATGTTGCCAATAATTATATATTATATATAATTGCAATTGACTTTATGAATACATTTTATAATCAGTTCCATAACTATGTATACAAGTCTGGGAACAACAAAGATGAATGCAGTAAAATTGAACAACTGAACAACTGATTATATGTATAAATGCATTTGATTAAGTATTCAGAAAAGAGGGATCATAGAATGTATGTTTAGAATATATAAATCACACCTAAAAGCAAAGAACAAACATGCCTCTGAGAACTTGGTAAATTCTACTTTTTAAGAAAAAAAAAATCACAATTACGTGTACGTTTTTCAAAATTCTCGGGCTGATACCATGCATACCTTAGGGGAATTTGTGGTTTGCAGAATCATTTTTTTGAATATGTCACTCCAAGTTTTACAAAATACTCTCGTCATAGTAAGACAACTAGCCTTTAACAATAACTGTCCTTCTCTTCTACAAAAATTTCACTCTTTCACTCATCAATTGTTTGCATTTTGAGTATTAGTTTGCCTCATTTCAGAATAACATTATTCAAAGATAACTTTAAAAACTAGAATGTTAAATTTACCAGTGAGCAATGCCACCAAGATTAAAGACGAGTGAATGTGATAAAACCCAAAGTATGTACCTAGCTTACAAAGCAGAACCAGCAGCAATGTACTGCTTGTAAGAGTTCTTTAGCAAGAAAGGAGTAAAACAGTAGTCTCAAAAATTTCCAAGAATATAGCCCTTTAGCAGTACTCTTCTGACTCATGTAGAGGCTGTGATAGGCGTGAACTCTAAAGGGGTCTCCTGCAGTCAACCGTGTTACTTCAGTTATGTTGAAGAGAAACTGATGCTAGCCTGGCACTTCATAATCCTGCCTAACAGAGTGCCGACTGGGTTCTGTATTTCCAAAGGAAATGTTTAATACAAGAGACAGACTAGTAGGAAGGGGCTGTGCTGAAGAAAAAAGCAGAAGCATTAGGACAAAGCATACATCCATTCTATAATTCCAAAAAAGCTAACTATTAATTAGTACTCATAGCAGAACACCATCCATAGACAAACTGATACGTTACTGAAAGCAATTTGTACTTACTGGCAAATGTTCAAGTAAGGGAGTTACACTTTCAGACACATATATTATATTTCCATCTGTCATAATTGCTAAAAAAAAACCATCAAGAGCCTGAAATTAAACATAATGGGCAGTTAAATAAAAAGAAACAGAAGATACTCAAATGTTAAGCTATATTCAACATGGAAAATAATTTAGACCAATTTTAGTTAAGTTTACTATAAAAATGAGAATGCCTTTCACTACTAAAACTTCTCAGTCTTGCTTTTACACTACGAGCATTACAATTCCCATACTGTTCTGTTCTTAAATAACCTGTGGTTTCAGAAGCAAGTCCATATACAGCTAGCCACTGTTTCCCCTATCTCCCACTCTACCTGTTATTTTTAATTCCATCATCATTTTAAACATCAGAAAACTCAGAAAAATGAGCTAGAGACAAAAGTAAGAAGAGGCAGAAAAACTAAGAGAAGAACAAGTAAAAGGTTGTGAAATCAATGGATTTCAGTATTTAAAATTTCAATATTCTCAATCTCAATAAAAAAACCAAACTTGTAGGAAGATACAGTTCTGACTGCTTATCTTCTACGTAACTCAAACTTATTTCAACTGAACACAACACAACTATCTTTCAGTTGAACGCTACCAAACATAAAAGCATGACAGAACTGTATTTCTAATAGGATAGGAATTTTAAAGCTCACACCTTTGAAAAAATTTCTTATATCATATTGTCACAGTCACTCGTTGTGGACGTGTGTTTTGTAAGAGGACTTGAGAAACATCAAAAACAGCCACAAAAAACCCCTCGAAAAACAGAAGCAACTACTTCACTAACTTGTTGGAAAAAATATGCAAATTCACCACAAAAGATTTTGTGAAATTTTTTTTAAGTACAGAAATTCAGAACTTTTTACTTTTTAAATCTGTGCCTCAAAGAAAAGGTTTAACTATGGAATGAAAATAAAAAGTGCTTGTTTATTTACTTTAATATTTTTCATTTACCTATTATTAGAAATTGTTTCACTAACAAGACACAAATGACTTATCCTCATTTCCAAGGAAATGATAGCTTGTACTGAAAGTTTATTTCTAGTAGTAATCCAACTATTCACGTAATCTTGTTTAGCAAAGGAATGCTCACATACCATTTCTGGGAAGCGTAACAAGCAAAGAAATTAAACACACTATTGCTCACAAGTTACATGGATGTGTTGAGCCTTTTTTGTAATTAAGATTTTAACTTATGCATAACAATTCTTTACTTAACTAGTACCTTCCTTATGTTGGTAATTTCAAATATCCACTTTGACAGTAAATACGTTCATTTGTGGACGTGCTCTGTTATAATGTTTTATGTAATAGAAAATACAGTTAAAAGAAAAACTGGTTTGCATTACAGTGCATAGGAATTTTGACTGTTTACCTTCATGAAAACGTAGAGTTACAACTAAAATATGAAAATAAAAAGTTACGTCATCAAACTAAAAAAAACTCATAATGGAATGACTCCCTGTGAGGAAATATTCTACTCCCAGAAAAACAGAAATAATATACCTCTAACATTAACTGTGTGAACTCTTCATTACTAAGGAATGTCGGTTTCCAGTCCTGTCGAATCTCACTGGCGTCTGATTGTGCAGTAATTTCTACAATCAAACAGATATGCAATATAAGGATTCACATTTCCAAAAGCCATTATTTTCCCACTAAGCTATATATACACAGTAGGAAATAGCAGAAGGTTCTCCAGTCTCCTCTGTTGTTCATTCATTACATATAGATGTTGTTCCTTAAAAAGAAAATAAATTTCTTCTCCCATATGTCATAATTAATTTGTCTTCTCTTTCCTTCTATCAGTTTGTGCCACAGTCCTGCCAGACTTCAAGATAATGCTGAAGTTAATAACAGTACATAACAGATTTTAACAATGGAAAAATACTCTTTCCTCTGAGACTATAATAAAATGTTTTATTCAGAGTGTTGTTTTTGAAGATTTATAAAGCCAAAATTCCTGATCAGTTTAGGTCATTAAAATGCCTATTCTTCAAGTATCTTGGCCAATCCTGGTCATTCTAACCTTTGCACTAAAAATTGCCACTGTCCTTTTTCTTCCCACTCTTTTCGGTAAAGAAATAAGATTACATTAAAAACAGAGTAGGTTTTCAACAAAGAGTGTTAAGAGCTGTATGACTGACTCCACTGCAGAATTATGTCCTGATTCATACACAGAGATGAATTTTGAACAGAGATGCCTGTAGGACTTAAGAGAAATATAGAGATTAACTTCCCATACATAGGTGAGAGAAAAACGGCTACTAAGCAAAAACAGACCCCAGGGTCTGAAAGTTGATTCTTCCTTATTAGCTGATAACTGAAACAACAAGAAGCAAGACCATGTAGTACTTCAGTTTTGATGAGTAACATGGGCATTACAGAAGTACTGGCTGTAGGAACAACCTTGAAGAAGTAACCGTAAATCAAGTATTTAGATGAATCGAAAGAACCAAACTATGTCTTTAAGGCTGCTGATTTCTAAAGGACAAGTCTGTACAATGGCCGTAAGCTAGTTTGCTAGTTCGGATGGCTCAGAGAGCACAGAAAACCTGGAATTGAGTTAAATATGCAAAGGGCTGGAACAGTTCAGAATTTTGATTCCCAGACTGAAGGGGGAAAACTTTGTGAAAGAGCTTCAGACTTAACTAAAAGAACAGTAAACAACAGCAACGTCATGCAAGAAACTGGCAGGAAGTGGAAAGCTGCAAGGAGAGGGGGAAAAAATATCAACAAATAAAATGGTTCAGAATTTCCAACGATCCAGATCTCAGAAAAGACATAAATTGATCAGGCTCTTGCTATCTGTTTTGAAATGGTATCACAAAGCAGTAAGAGTGGGATGGACAATAAGGATAACCTAAGTATAATCCCAAATCTAACTTTTCAGTCAGAACAAATATATTGAACCCTGAGGGGTAAGTCAAAGGACATGGAAATGAAAAGCTCTGCCACCAAAGTAGAGGCAAAATTCAAGGAACTTAATACATTCAGTCCACAGGACCCAGATAATCTCCACATTAGAACTGGAAAAGCCTGATTCATTGGCTTGTTGTGACCCACAGAACCATCCTACTTCAGAATTTTAAAAAAAAAAAAAAAGGTCAGTCTGGCTTTTGTAGTAGAAAGGATTTATACTAAACTAAAGCTGAAGTTCATGCTTTTAATGAACCATTCTGAATTATCTTACCACAAGTACAGGTGATATTTTACATTTCCTGTAATTAGAACAGTGAGTATGATATTGCAAAAAAGAGCCAAAGTAACATGGAAAGAACTTGTTCCACTTGCTAACTTCAGAGAAATGCCTAACAATTCTGGCAAAAGGTTGCATTCAGAGATAAATGGCACTGAGGTCACGTTCTTGAGCTAGACAGCAGACAGAGGAGCATAACCAAACTTGCGCATTAAACTCCAGTCTTCAAATCCTGGATCTGAAGCAACTCAGCATCAGCACTGAGCATCCTCAAAAGAAATTGTCAGCTGGGCCAAAATCTGTAGCATTTACCTGTGGGTTGTATGAATATCAGTCTACTAGTTGTAATTATAAGCAGAGAAATTCTTCAGTATTTAATAATTTTTAAAAATTTCTTGTTTACAAATTCAAAGGAAGATGTTAGGCAAGTATTAGCCAAGGAGAAGCTCTTAATAATATATTCAGTGTGTTTAGCCTGCTCTTTTTTCCCCAGTGAGAAACAGAACCCACACTGGCCAATAACCAGCTCAGATAGTTCATCAGGAGCTACTGTCAGAGTACCAAGCCTGGCCAAAGTGGAAATGGTCCAGAAAGAACCAGAAGCAACGCAGTTAATCAAAACCTGGTGGCTGAACACAGTAGGATTTTCAACAATAAAGCAGCTAATCAGTGCTGAACATTTCATTTATTGCTACAGTCACTGCTTTATTGTAACAGATCCAAGCACCTCAGGAGGCAAAATATGCTTCTGACACCTTTGCCAACATTTTGTCCAAAACATTTTAATGTAAACCAGTGCAGAGCAATGCCAGTAAGCACGGGCAGCCAGAGCTTTAGAGAGCTTAATATGACCTGTGGAGTCACACAAAGCTGCACTCTGTGCCACCAGGTGAAGGACAAAAGCGCCATGCCGTAAAAGTCACCCATCTCCCGAGCTGCTTTTTTCCCCTTTCTCCTAAAATAATAAAAAATAATAATTTAAAAAAATAATCTCGGAAAGCACTTTGAACAAAAAAGTATGACTGGTGTTGCTTGACTGCCCAACACACGTTTCATTCTACACTCCATATTTTATGATAGGAATCATCAATACAAGATAAAGTGATTTTGAAACAGAACCAATTTTCACAAAGGCCTTAGAACCTTACAACTGGCTTTTACCAAAAAGGAGCCTTCATACTGCTTTTCTTTTTGTTATGAGAAAAACGTGTCTCAGAGAATTAAAACAGCATAATAAATATTTAATTGGCAAAACCCCCCCAAACCTATGAATTCTCACAAAAATTATTACCCCCTCCCTTTCCATTTTAATTGTTATGTTTAGCCTTTTAATGGAACTATTCAGCATGCACCTGGAGCTACTTGAACCATAACACTAACACAAGGGGTGCTACAGTATGGAAAAAATATTCATCATACGTTAACATAAGTTAAATTGACACACATACTGTTGATAAATACATATCTATCCATCCACTTAGTAGCTTTACTTATTTTATAACCTCATAGCTGCTTCTTTTGTCCCTACTGCTTTCTAGTTAGCATGCATGCTCAGAAATTACTCAAGAAAATGGGTTAACTAGTGAAAGAGTTCATTTTCTTGAATTCTTAATCTTGTTTTTAGCAGCGTGAACCACAAGGTGCCATATTAAGAACAAGCGTAGGAGCAGAAATGGGGATTTTTTATATACATAAATATCAAACAGCCATAAGTAAGTGTACACTTGGTGGAAGAATTTTTTTGTGACAGAAATAACGACCTGTAATGAACTTCAGTACAATATATCTGGGCATCAGCTGACACAAACAACCAGAGAAACAAAACATAGCAAGGATGTTCAAAGACATTCATCAGTTTGATTTCATATGATGGTTTACAAAACAACAGACACACACTCATTGTCTTATACATCAGTGGATATGCCTTGAATATTAGAAAGTTAACTGAAAGTATTTCTAGATTTTCTGGGGTTTCTTTCCAGCTAAAAGGAAAAAAGAAAATGCCCACATTCCTGGTCTGTATGCCCACTGCATGTGCCCCTCTCTCATGAAACAACCTACCCCATAACACTTGCTGGAGACCACAATGCCCTATTGCCTTATCACCGTTGTTAAAGCAGCCAGTTGCGTAGATATCTGACGTGAAGAGAGGGAGCATTAAGTTCCCTAGGACTAGCTTTTTCAGTGATTTATCTTGCTTTATGTGGAACTTGAAGAGACAAACCAACTGTTCAAACCAGTCATATCTAAATATCAAAATAAGTACTTCCAGTAAGTACTTCCACTGAAATGGATCAGCAGTTTTCCTACGAAGCAAAACTTTGATAACTTGCACCTTATGAAGCAACTGTATTGTAAGGGTCTCCATCTGTCTAGAACAAAAACCTTCAAGGTTATTTAAAAAACAAATGCTTCTCTTCCTGAAACAGACTCCTTTGACAACTATAGGACAAAAAAAGAAAATTAGTACTGGCTTTTGCAAAATATTAGCATAAACACAGTTATGTCTCTGCTACCTATTATTATGATCTTAAGAATACCTTTCTCGAGGCGCTCTTGACATTTTTTTTATAATTTCCTTAAAGGAGTTGCAAAATTGTTAATGTGTTATGTACTAAGTGAATGTAATTTTAAAAATCTAGGAATTTACAGATTTTATTGTTACAAATAATTACCTTTGTGCTTCCGTAAAAAGTCAATGCTCTTCTGCAGTACAGTGGATTTATCCATCTTCCGAGCATTACCTGGAAGCATGGAACCCAGCTCTTTGATAAGTACATTAAACTGATCTCTACGTTTCTTTTCTGACTTGTTTCTGGACACTCTGAAAAACAAAACAGAAAATGTCTTATAACAACTATGAAACTTTTTTATAAGCTGCATACTACTGCCAGGTTCCTGGTGCAAACAGCTCCTTAAGAATTTCTGCTGTGAGAAGTGTCACAAAAACATTTACTCCATATCTCAGACACCATTTTTGATGAGTGGCTTCCTCCTCACAGAGGGGTGCAGCTAAGCCTTTGGAATAAAGCAGCCTTTTACAAAAATACAAATCATTGAACCACAGTTATAAATACACAACACATCTGAAGAATAACAGTAAAAGAAATGCTCTTGAGTAATATGGCTATTTTAAAAAGAATCACAATTTTATTGTTTAGAAATCACCCTGGTAAGTTCAAAGTGTACAAACACAAGACATTTCTTAGCTTTAATTAAAAAACTTACCTTTTTGCTTTATCTTTGTCATCTTCTTCCACCAGCCCATCAAAAATGCTTCCATCATTTCTGAAAGAAACAAAAAGAAATAAATGTTGGAATGTAAAATTTCTCTCTTGTGGAGTCCACTCACAACGAAGGGTGGGGGAGAAAAAGCTCATTATTCGCCATCTCCGTTACATCAAGAAACAGAAAGCACTGTTTTACTCTGATGTCTCACAAGGCCCATCATCAATAACCTGAATCCAGATCCGCTATAAGTTCTCCTCGTAGGACATTTACTAAAGAGAAAGCAAAAAACCTTACATATCTGATACAGTTCAAAGGATTTTCAGACTACTTCTAATGGGAACTTAAAACCCCATGCAAACACTTAATTGAGCACTACTTAATTTTGATTTTCTATCTTCTTGATTATTTGCATTATCTTACCCTTTTGAAAACAAGAGATAAAACACATGTAATTTATTTTTACTTATTGATAACTTCTATTCCAATTACTGGAAATAGTTATAGTAAGAAAGTGAATTTTTCTTAAATACTGAAGCATTATCAATGGAAGAGGGCTGAGGAATATGCTGACTTCATCCACGTATGTAATTTTATAAATATACAATTAATACCAATGTTAAACAGTAACAGTAATTATTCATTGTATTTGCTTCCTCACCAAGTAGACCAGATATAAGGAAGAAATTCTTTACAATGAGGGTGGTAAAACACTGGAACAGACTGCCCAGAGAGGTAGTGGAGGCCCCATCCCTGGAAACATTCAAGGCCAGGTTGGACGGGGCTCTGAGCAACCTGATCTAGTTAGCGGTGTCCCTGCTCACTGCAGGGGGGTTGGACTAGATGACCTCTAGGAGTCCCTTCCAACCCAAAACATTCTATGATTCTAAGTATCAAATAACTCTTCCTCAGCTTGACAACTATCCGTGTACTGCTAAAGATGTATTAGAATATCAAAATCAGAATGTGTTTTTCTTTGAAGATGCCTCAGTATACGTCATACAACATCTTTATTTCATTTCCTTTTGTTTTAAAAGTCAAAACTGTCCTCCTGCTTTCCAAAACTGCTGTATAATGCACTTTCACATTTTATTTCTCTAATTCTTCTGTGTGCTTTCAGTCTATTTAGTGCTGTCCACACTCATCCGTGTGTGTCCACCCCTGATTTTTTTATCCTAATGTTTCCTTCCCTTAAGGTAAGTAATTGTCTTTCTAAAAAACTTACATCACCTCCCTGATTTATAACTGATAAATCATCAAGCAATTGTACATTACGATTCAGTGATGTTAAGAAGCAATTATTTGTATGCCACTACATAAAGCTTTTAAAAGGAATTTGTATATTCAAAAGGCTGAAATTTCAGTGAAATGTCACAAAACTTCACCGAAAGAACTGACAAGTCAGACAAGCATTTTAAAACTTTTACCCTTTACTTTTATTGTTATGTATTTTGATCGGGTTTAACTTTCTGTAAATTTGACACAAGTGTCATCTCTTGAAGTCTCAAAAATGGTAATACACTGAGTATTAAGGACAGATGTTCACGTAAGCTGCTAAGAAAGTCCAGCTCAAGGAATCAAGCAGAAAACATGTCTCAGCTATTACTTTTCCCTTGAAATAGGTTAGCAGGTCACTTTACTATCATCTGCAGCGTCACTAACCATTTAAACACATTTGTTTTCCTTAATCAAATATTGAAGTACTAAAAAAACCATTCAAGTAAACATTAAAAATCAGCTCCACCTGCACAGATGCTGTTCCGCGGCTGAAAACAAGTTAATACATTTTAAGATTAATCTCAAGCAATAAAAATTACTATTTTCAATGACTGCAAAACAACACACCTAATAACTACCAAAATAACTTTGTCAAAAATAGCCAAAACCTCACTCCTCTTATTTTTTGCATAAATTAATATTCTCTGTATATTAACCATAAGAAAAGTATTATTAAAGAAAGCATTGAACAGTAATTCCCCCCAAACTCTCAGTATCTATTAACATACCGATCTGCAATGGAGCTCATTTTATGGGTGCTTATGGTAAAAAACATAACATGTCACCCTTTAGTCTTGTGGTAGACATTTGTACGTTTGCCTGTAAGAGAAGAAAAAAATACCAAATGTGATTCTGGAGGAACAAACACGTTCTTCATCAGAGCATACTGAAGTTTTCATTTGCTCTACAAGCTGCTCTTAATCTTCCTCTCTCTTCCAACCTTCTGCTCTGCCCTCCTACTTTCTCTAATGCAGTCTCCATTACCATCATAACCTGGACTGTAGTATCTCATTTTACATGATAGAGAGTTCAAGAGAACATTGTTTTATTAAATGCCATGGATAAATAAGTTTGGACTAACCCAGTGCAAACCTTTTTCTGACTCTGAAACCAGATATAGCTTTTCATTTTAACTTTTACCTAAAAGACTCATAATTTTGAAGGTTGAACAGATATAAAATAGGCTCGTCAGTACTAATACATTCTATTTAGAAACTGTGCAAACAGAAAGCATTTGGGATATAGTATTTTACAGCTATAATTTATTTCTTACTATATTTTTTCCTTAAGCACATTTTTGTAATATACATGTGAAATGGTAACAATAAGATACCTATTAGAATGTGATCTCCATACTGTGAGAAAGTTAGTTAACCTGGCCATTTCTTAAAGCAGTCATTGCAAAGTTAATTGCAAAGTTTCAGCAGCAAGTTTTTGGTTTTCCAGTTGCTCATATGATTTTGAATAAAGAATATGAATGAAGTATTAATAGCGAGAGAAGGAATATAAAATTAAAATAAGTATTTAATTCAATGAGTACTTTTAGGTACCCAAAAATTAGAAAATGACATGGGTTATGGAAAGGCTGAAAGTCAGAAACAAACTAATACAATTAAAACTTTTTCTTTGATATAGAAAAGTCAGTTGTCAGAGGCTGCTCAAATGGAGTAGTGGGACTGCAACATTGTCAGTGGTTAAGGAACAACAGCATGCAGCAATAAGTTTTATATGAGCTGAACTTGCAAATCTTCAGGAATTTTTATTATGTTACAAACTTAATAGTAAAAAGGCATTGCATTTATTTCAAAGGAGATGGTTTTAGTCACTTTAGTGACTCATAGTTTCTGAGAAGTAAGGATTTGTTTGTTTCTGAGAGTGCCAAATCCAATGGAACTTGCAGTGTTAATACCACAAGAAATATGGCAGCAACTCCATGATCCAGACAGCCTGCAAAATGTTCCAGGAAAATCTTATCCCAGTTTTTTAATATATGGGGAAACTGAGGAAGAAGGCTTATGTCTCAACCAAACTATCTCAGTCTACAACAGCCACATAGTATGCAGGTTTGCTTCACAAGGCCAGTCTTTTGCCCAAAGTTTCATAACTTGAGTGCAGCAGTCAAGTTAATGGGAGAGCTGTGCTGCAGCACAATCTCTCTTAAGGTGCATCACAAGATGCACATGTGGTTCTGCCCAAATGCCCCATGAGCCCTCTTACCCACTTCTTCAATCAATACAGCCCATCTTTGTCTTGCCTTTATTCTCCAAAACCTAGTGCTCTGAAGACACACTGGAAGCAAACCATTCCTTCACTCTAATTCTTCAGAATAACAATTGCACTGGCTGTACTGACAAATTAAATTCCCCAAACTAGCTGGCCAAGTTTTATAAAGTAAGGGGATTGCACTATTTGAAAACCAGCGAGAATTGTCAAGAGGAAAGTAAATTATGGCAAAGCGTTTGTTTGAATTTTTGTTAAAGGCATGCAACAACAAGCAGGTTGCTCAGCAGTAAAAGCAAACTACCACCACTGGCATGGAATTAAGTTTAAAATCGAGACACCAGTTAGAAACTTCTTTTCATTTAGCTTATATAGTATGCACTAATACAGGTATGCACTAATTATACTTTTAGCCCTGTGTTAATTTTTAAACTAATTTGGTACGTAATACGGATCGAGAGTAATATTAAGTTCTGTAGGACAAATGATATATTGTTCCCTTAATCTGCAAAAGAAAAACACATGTACAGCTAAATACAGAAAACTTCCACCCGTGACATAACTGACTTCTTCATCATGCAGAAGCAGAATTTAAAAGTCTGCTGATTTTGGCTGAGATAGAGTTAATTTTCTTCATAGTAGCTAGGCTAGGGGTGCACAAGAAGTTGGGAGGGCACACAGCTGGGGCAGCTCACTCCAACTGACTAAAGAGATATCCCACACCATATGACATCATGCTCAGCATATAAAGCTGGGGGAAGAAGGAAGGGGGGGACACGTTTGGACTGATGGTGTTTGTCTTCCCAAGTAATGGTTACGCATAATTGGAGCCCTGCTTTCCTGGAGATGGCTGAACACCTGCCTGCCCATGGGACGCAGCAAATGAATTCCTTGTTTTGCTCTGCTTGCATGCACGGCTTTTGCTTTACCTATTAAATTGTCTTTATCTCAACTCATGAGTTTTCTCACTTTTACCCTTCCGATTCTCTCCCCCATCCCACTGCGGGGGAGTGAGTGAGTGGCTGTATGGGCTTAGTTGTCAACCAGGTTTAAACCATGACAAAAAGTCAATACTTTCACTTTAACAAAGCACTCAATTTCTAGAATTCAACAAAATCATTCACTTATTACAGGATACAGATCCTATGTCAGAACTCACAACTTGGATTTGGTATCCAAGACAAATGGTTAAAAAAACTTAAAGACTACAGGAAATGTACATGTAGTGCATTTGTTTCTCATTTTTCAAGGTCTGACCTTTCTGTCTTAGCACCCAAATTTGCAAGATGCTGCATATTCTCAGTGCTTATATAGGCCAACGAATAAGACTGCAAGGATAATTCCAATGGAACTAGTAGAGTTTAAAGCAAACACTACAGAAATCAAGGACTATGCCTATTTCTAAGATTCAAATTCAGACATGCTCTGGAGAATAAAAGACAGTACTTAACATTGCTATTCAGCCCTTCAGTGTTGATAATTGAAAGCCATAGGAACCTTATTAATTATAATACAATTTTACCTTTTACACTTTGGGACTTGTTAAAGTGTGAGGTTAAGGGATGAAATGTGGTTCCTTTGAAGAACAATGTGGAGTTAGATGTATCCTCTTCTGCAGAAAAGTATGAAATTCTGAACTGTGAAAAAATAAAAAAGGAGAGTTCTATCAATGAGTTTTTAAATTATCACTTATTTGGTTTTTTTTTTATAAAAGAAGTAATCATTCCAACAAGAGTAATTTATAAATGCAATATTCTGCTTATTAAAAATACCCCAATTATTTCACTATCCAAACTCATCTCAGTTTAAAGCTCTTCTCCTTGATAAGCAGGATGTTCTCACACACTTTAATCTCTGCTTTAAGCTATCACTTTATGCCTATTTTAATCTTGACATAATTTTTACTTTTCAATCTGGTATCACCCACACCATCTACATCTTCACTTCCACTAGATACCTTCAAAGTTTATCTTTATGCCATTATTTAAACACCTTTTCCGCTCTGGGCCTCTCCTGGCTTTCTCAGTTATGTCTTCTCCTCTCCAAGTCTCCCAAATTGCCACTCTCAGGACTCCAGAATGTGTAGAATGCCGCTGCTGGCAACTAGCAAAGTTGCCCAGCTGCATTATTGCTAGACCCTCAGACACAGCCATTAACCCCTTCTTTCAAAACCTACTTAAAAAAACACTTTCAAGAATGTATTCCAAACTAACCTCACAAATGCACTTTTTCCATAAAAATCCTCAGCACCAGTATAAGTGATCATCAACTTCCAGTCTCTTTACACCATTACATTTAATTTATATTTTCTTCCCTTGAACCATGCTACTTTCCACATTTTTGTTACATTAAATCATTTTTTTCTCTCATATTTATCCCGTTTCTGTCTGCCTTGCTTACTGTTCTTAAAATAAAATGTATTCACTATACAATGTACTTGTACCACTTCCGAAAAAATTTATTTTAAAGCATATTAAATTCTAAAAAGGAAGCTGGGATCTAAAAACTAAGCTTATGCTACTCTTAAATTCATCAATGGATTTTATGGGAAACACCAGAATTATCTCTTATTTGATTAGGAAAGTTAAGTTTCTCCTTCCCCTGCACCCAACAGAGGCTCTTAAGTGGTTAAAATACAGATGCAAATATTAACATAGGAAGTTAAAGCACAGCAGAACAATCTGCCAACAGAAGAAAAACAATTACAGCATGATTCAGTGAAGCCACTCGTTCTTTTCTGGCCAAATAACCTGCTGGCCCATTGACCTACTTTTTTAGGTGCTTACAGCCTCCTCTCCTATTCTGTTTTGTTCCGTTTGACAAGTGCAAACATTAATAGCGACAAAGAGTCCCGTGGAAGTCTAGGTTACAGAGACTGCAACATGAAACCTGTGTTTTTAAACTGCTTGGAGTTGAACAAGTCTGCCAACTCTCACCCGGCTTCTAACAGAGTTCTAATGAAGAAAATTTTAGACCTCATCTTTCCAGTATGTAGAGGTACATTTTTTAAAAAATCACAACTGAACACTTGAAGACAAACACTACAAGACTTAAGCACGGAACCGTATTTGATAATGTCTAAAAAAGAATCAAAAAAAAGGAAGTTGTTAAGGATATTTGAAAAAGGGTTTTTACGATGAGAAGGAAAAGAATGTTTATGTCATAAAGGAACATAAGCAAGCTTAAACCAGACCAAAATGAAAGCTAATCACAGTGGAAAAGCTTTTGTAACCAAAACCACACAGATCTCTTAACTCAGTCGAAATGGCATGCGTGTGAAAGCCAGCAGAAAGGTTAAGACGCCTACACACCAACATTGCCAGCCACAAGTTTTCAAAGGTCATGGGTCTGTCCCCACAATTCATGAGGTTTTTTTAAATACAACGAATTATGTGTATTTGTCTCTGGATTCTATGTCTTTTGTACACATACAGTGCATGTTTTCACATTTTTCCGCAACCAAGAAGGCTAGAAACTTACTGTCTTTAAGAAAGCTGAGGTCCTCAATCAAAAACCTTAGCTGCTGCCACGAATATGCAAACTATTAATACACAACGCTGCTCAATCCGTAGCAAAATCACAAAAACTAGCAACACTGCAACTTTTGCACTATACTGACTTACCACTCATGGAGAGGCAATAAGTTATTGGGTGCCAAGTTATTGCTTGGCCAAAGAAATAAGGTTCTGAATAAGTCATAGGGTAAAAAGCCACAATCCAACCTAAGGTAACAGTGAAAAGTTCACACCATCTGAGAAAACATTCTATGTTTTAGACTAAAAGAATTCCAGTAACTTCGGTCCAATTTTATCATCAATACTGGTATGCAAGTTGGCAGTATTAGATTTTAAAAAGAAATTCAAAATTGAACAAACTGTAATAACACTACAGTCTTGCTCATGACAGATCTTGTCAGGACTGGACCGAAAAATGGATGGGACAATAGTCAATATGTTGCCGGTACATAATTTTGTGTATAGTCAGTGACTAAACCCCTTACATCTCCAGCACTTCGCCATAATGATAACATTACTGAATATTTTTTGAGGAAGAATCAGTATTGCCCTTATATTGTAAAAAAGATTTTTATATAAATGTCTTGATTTTATAAGTAATATTTTCGTGACTTTACAGATTACAGCCCTCAGACAGAATTAATGCGAGGTGACATGTATTATTAAGATGAATAATTTCACCCAGGAAAGATCACAGGAAAAACATAGGAAACAATACAGTTTTCCAACACTACAGTTTCTGCAAACAGAAACAGATTAACTTCTTTAATACAACCTGATCTCTGTGCCATAATCCTATTTTGCCAGGGGAACAAACTAGTTATTATAATCACTGAGGATTAGCTTTAGAGAAGATCTTGTTTAAAGAATCAAAATCACAGCACACCAGTCTGCACTTCCACAGCACCTGATGCCCCAGAAGAGCTCTAACACCAGCTACGTACCAGGGTCAGCAAGCCAAGGAGCAGAAAAATCACGCTGTGAGCCAACAGCTGAGCCAGAACCTGACTCCCAATGTAAGCACAGGACCAAAAGCCCTATTTTTTATACAGACGCTCAGGAAAACTATAAACCTTCTTGATACTCCTTTCCAGGAGCAATGAAACATTTGCTTCTGAAAATTTGGATTATGAACTTCTAAGGTTTTACTCTACTGGGACATCCCACCATAATGGGCAAGCAGATATCCGTTCTGTTATCTCATTCCCAGAACAGCACATCACTATCACTCATGTTTTCCATTTTGCTCTTTGCTTCATAGATTTACCCCCAGCACGACCATTTTTATCTTTAGCTTCTTCTTTCTTGGAGGTGCAGAAGAGGGGAAGAGAAGGGGAAGAATTTATTTTGGGTTAGTTCCTCTCTAATAACCCTAGACTTTTGTAGAGAGCAAGAGATGTTTAGAGAGGTAAACCATAACCTACTCTCTAATGAGGTATAGTTTGGCTTAACAGAACAAGGTTTCGAGGTACTTGCTCCTTTGCTTCCAATGCTGTGCACACCAACACAAAGCAAATTAGGGTAACGACCAACTGATCCTTTCTCACTGATCAAAGGCTATCTGTTAAATCACTATGTTTTTAAAACTGACATATCTCTGATTTTCTACCTCAAAATAACAAAAAAAGCAAACCAAACAAAAACAGGGCTGAAAAGGGCTGAAAATAATTTCAAGAAATGATGTCCAAACTTTGCAGCTGAAAAGGTTACTCTAGCAACTGGGAATAGTCATATATTGCAACCTTTTCTCCACGATGTCAACAAAACAACTGTAATTTTGGTATGTACTTTTGCAGAAGAACTGACACATCCCAGAAATATCATTTTCTGTAGATAAACATGCTGTAACAACAGGTGTACATCTTCACTTGCTTCACAGGAAAACAGTAGGAGAGGGCTGCTTCTAGTGCAGGCATCCGCACAATTAGATCCCAGATAGGCTTTTAATAGGAAAATTTGTGAGTGAAAAGTAGCCTGCTCTGTCAGAGGCGTCTGCTTAGGTCCATTACCTTTTCAGGGAGTAGACAAGGCAATATCTATGTGCAATATAATGAAGAAAGGGCAGTGGGACAGATGACTGGTGGTGTGGGTTGCCATTATCAGAATATCACCCAGTCTCAAGTCTGTTCCTGAGGGACTTTTGGGAAATGGTACAAGTCCAAGCAGTCTATAGGAGAGATGAACTGCCTAGTAGGAGGCCTGTTGTGGTAGTGGTCAGCAGTATCACAGATTGAGTTATAATGGCACTTGAAAGAATGCACACTATTTGCCCACAGACCTATTTGTACGTAGCCCAAAAAACCAGCAGCAGTTGGAAGAGCCGACAGATCACCATGAGTGGACAACAATGTAGCAACCACAGAAATAAAAAGAGGTAATGTTCTTAGAAATGGTTTGTCACACAGATGTGTGCTTGCCTACTCCCTGCAAAAGCAATGGACCTAAGCAAGTTGCTCTGACTAGTCTGGTTAGAAGTCACTGTAAATAATACCCTCATAGAAACATGGAATTAGAATAGAGAATTAGAGGAAAAAGCAATTCTCTCCTGAATTCTTCATGTATTAGACTGTCCTGCCATCAGGAGAGAACTTTGCTCTGTAACTTGGGACTGAAGGCAGTTTGCAATTTCCATATCTCTAGTTCACGGTTAGAGAAAACACCCCTGCCCACTACTCCTCTGTTCCAGATAATTTGGGCTGATCTCTGCTTGACCAGCAGTTCTGCTACCACCTTTCCACTCTTCTCTGGAGTCTGCATCTCCTCCTCCTTCCTCACCATGGAGATGGGCCCACAGATCCCTCCCTGACAGGGTGCAGCTCTAATCTTAGTTCATACTGCAGTGAAGATACATGCAAGAAAGCTGTAAGAAGCCTCTGACTCTTCACCTGGGCTACACTGGAGCCTGGCCCATGCCTGGAGATGTACTCCACTGATCTGGCCTCTGACGCACTGATTTGACTTCTTGGCTTGTCCTCAGATCTGCCTCCTCACCGTTTCCAGAGTTTGTCACTAAAGACTCTCCATGTTTCAGAAAACTGTAAAGGATAATCAAGAAAGAGTACAAACCTAACTAAGTTTACAAGATAAATTCGAAAGGCAGTGTTAATGATCTGGCCATCAGAAACAATTGTTAATCTTCCATATTCTCATTTAAAATATTTTCTCAGTCCTTTGTATTCACAGTTCCTGATTGGAGATCCCCTTCCTTCAATAACAAACCCATACATGTAGCAGAAATAATGCTTGTAAACCCTGGGCAACTAGTCTGTACAAGAGAAGACCGTGACTACATGTTATGATTCCACTTGCACCCACTTTTATTTATAAGGCTCCACCCTGCTCCTTGCCACGCTTCCGCAGCCTTTACTGGAGGAGCACACCTCTTCAGCCCTGGCCACATGCTGAAGTAGATTTGTGAAATAACGTGGCTAAAAGAACCCACATCTCACACAGTTTTAAATACAATCTTTACTTTCTTGTTCCTATTAAAAAGTGTGGCTTCATGTACCTTTGAAAATTGGCACAGCTGAGGAACAGTACCCCTCTACGAAGAGGAGCTCTTAACTACATCTGCCACTGCTGGATCTGCAACAGGGAACCATGGGTTAGACTTAAAGAGTATGCATTGTGCTTGCACATCTAAAATAGATCTGAGCTCATAATCAAGCGTGGCTGAAAAATATACCTGCTGCCTCCTTAAATGGTGCTTAACAGAAAAAATCCAAAAAAACCAACAAAACAAACCCTCAGTACTTCACAACATGAGTTTTAATCAAGAGAAGCTAAGGTATTAAGCATTACAATTCAAAACTGAAAATCTTCATGTCTTTGTAAATCTCCATTTCTTTTAATGGGATTCTGGGCAGAAACAACCTGCAGCTCAAGAACAGATCCTAAATTAACGCTCACCATGCTGTGGAAAAAGTGCTGTAGATGGTGTAAAATCTGGACATTCTGTTATTCTCTCTCACAGGAGGCATCTAAACTTGGTATATTTTACAATGAACAAATAAAATCCCAGCTTCCTTCTTCTAGCCTCTTAAATAATCTAGAACTGAGAAGGTAGGCAATTGAGAAGGTTTTTTCGTAAGTTCAAAAGGGGAAAAAATACCACATGCACATTCTCAAAAGTTTAAATTCCCACTGAATTTTACTAATTATCCCAGAAAATATTTTTCTATAGAATAAAGTTACCAGACCAAAAAAAAGTTCTTTACTTGATGACTTCTCAATATTAACAGATGTTTAAGAAAAAAAACTTTAAAATATGGTACCAAGGTAACTATCTTGGAGTTAATAACACTTTGAAATGAGTCATCCAATTACAAATGTGCATATTTATGAAACAGAGCATTAGCAATTTTACATGTTTTGTATCAGACACAGATGTTAGTTTAAACAACAATTTGTCTAAAATGGTTTGTCACATTTTCCCTCAGAGAAATACTAATACCAAATAATACCAGGAATACCAATAAATCCAGCCAGGGAGGAAAAATTAAACACTTTATTCCTACGTTGAAAAATATACATGAAAATTCACCAAGAAATGAGAGAGAGATCAAGAAGTTAAGCATTGGTTTTCCTCTACCCCAATAACAAGAGGCAATAATGTCTGGATATAGAAAGTAAAATAATTTTTGAAAACTGTCCAGGAGAAAATTCATTACCAAATTCCACAGACATAATTATCACACATTCAAAGCAAGATAACACCAAGTAACTTCTTCCATTCTATAAAAAAATAAATTGCTGCTCAGTGTTAATATAAACATGTTTAAAATTAGAAAACGAGACTTTACAATTATTATTACTGCAACAAAAACAAACACTCAGCTATTAATCTTGCAGAAAAACATGAACCTACAAGTTAGGTGGGCACCTTAACTGCCAGACTTCTAGTACGTATGTGTGTGTTGCAAGGTGGGAAAGGTAGCTAAAAAGCAGTTTTTGAAGTTCACACAAATGAATCTTTCCAAAACTCTATCCTAGACTAGAAGAATCTACACAATGAAGATTTATTAGCTTTTATATCCAAATGAACACTTATACTTTTTACATATCTCACTATTGCATTCTAAAATCTTCAGAAATCCAAGAAGTCAACAAATGGCCAAGGGGGTCTGTAAGAAGTTATGGAAGTTATTTCTGCACCCAATGACTTTACAGTCTATTTAGAAGAAATTTTAAGGATATAGCTATGAGTCTTGATTTATAATCCACCTTACCTTTTAGAGGGACGACCAACTATTTCATATCAACAACTTATTCCTTTAAGACAGCATTATCTAGCATCATCAAGAAACATCGTACTGCTTCTCAGTTTTGCACACTTTAAAAAGGTGTGGAAGGGGCAGTATGGGAAGGGAAAGCAGTATGCCATGCCAGAAAACTCAATGAAATGAACTCATGTATTTTTTGTTGTTTTTTTAAACAGAAGACTTACTCCTTACTCATGGACAGGGTACTCACCTAGGATGTGGGAGAAACAGAGTAAGTACTTCCTCTGAATCAGTCCGCAGGTGAGGAATTACCACATGCAAGACAGCAAGACCAATCTATATACAGACCATGCAGGTAAATACATGGCTATAGATACTAGGCACTTCATAGCCTAACAGTTATTTAAATTTGTAAGCACTTTTACCAAACTCCTTGGTCAAGCTGAAACTTTTCATAATGTTAGCCTTTGATCATTACTTTGACCACTCATTTCCACACCCACATTAAATTCCCTCTCTTCTACTAGCTTTAATATCTGTGATCACACAGTCAACAGTCCAAAACTGGTCCAGCCTCAAACTAACCCAAATATTGTTTCATTCAGCTAAATCAACTAAATTTGTTTCACCATATGGCTGCTCAAAAGCTGTTTTGGCAGAGGGGAAGGGGAAGCAGTGAATCACCAGGTTAGACATCTTTTGGCAACAATGCCATTTCATGCTGACCTATACCATGTGTTAAATTACAACCAGAGAACAAAACTAGGAAAAACGAGATTGAAATTTGTGCTCAAAGAAACAAGCGTTGTAGCTACTGCTCGAGAAGTCTGCTTCGTATATAAACGAAACATCTCTACTCTCCTATGTACTTCTGCATCTCATGTGGCAACCTGTGACAAACGAAATTTCTGGACAGAATGAGGTTTGTGTATATACACTGATCCAGACTCATGGATCAGATTCTGGATATGAAAACAGATCCAGAACTCAGCCTGATAGTCAATGGGAAATTCAAGCAAAATGTAAAGCACAGGAGTATATTATATACATGACATGTTGCTAAGTAGTTATCAACCTATCTATCAAATATGTTAATTATCATGAACTGTGACTGTTGGATGATGATCCAACAGTACAGATACTTATATAAGGGTATTCAGCTAAATGAATAACACGAAACTAAGAAAATTTAATGAAAGAATGATTTCTACCAACAGCAGCTATTTGTGACTCTCAGAACCGTACAAGTGTACCAAATGGACATATATCAAAAAAAGATAAGCCAGTTGCTAACAGCAATACCCAAGAAGAAGTGACAGGTGTTTCAGAAAGCTAATATTTAATCTGAAACCTAATTATCCATCTCGTGCAGAAATGCAAACATGTCAATAGAACACTTTAAAAATATTTAGTGATGGGCATATTTTTTTTTCCAAGTTGATTGCACAATCCTTGATTTGTGCAGCTGTGGAAGTGCTTCTGATGCTTAGATTTCCCAGCGCGAGTGACTCATGCACAGCTAAATTATTCTGTAAAGCTTTTGTGAAGAGTGGACTGTTTGACTGCCTGAAGAATGGAATAGGCAGCGCACTTCACTGGAAAACATCTTCAGAAAGAACGAAGTGAGGCTTCACTTTCACGTTTCCATAAAATGAGAGAGCAGGAATATTTTAAGCTCCAACACTGAAGCACAGTCCAAGTCAAAAATTACCCAACAAGCAGCTCCTCCTCCCTGCCTCTCCCCTACCCCTTTCCCCTAGAAGTCCTGCACATCATCCTGGAGACCAGAAAGTGATAACAAAATTAAAAATGAATGAGGTAGTAGAAAACAGAACAAAATAAAACAAGGGAAATGCTAGGGGATGCTAACTTCAGTGTATCAAAAAAGGTTTGGCAAAATCCACTTCTGTATTAGTATGGTCACTGTTACATTCATAAGATTAACAAGTTTTAATAAAAGTAAAGACTGACTTCCCTAAAATTCTGGTGTCTGCCAGTGGATCCTTCCATTTTCCCTCCAATAAAACTACCTGTTACAGATAGAGCAAGTTTATCGTTAAATAAAAACTCAATACTATAGCTACAGAATTCCAACCCCCTGCATTGCACTACTCCTTAATTTCATTAAACAAAACACTAGAGTTACTCTCTTATCAGAATTTTTAGTATAACAATCCAGGCTCAACTGGAATTACAGCGATTGCAAAACCTGAGACACAGGACAAGTCCTTTATATTGCACAGGCAAGTAGTGCCTTAACAGGAAATGGAAAAAATAAAACAAAATAAGAGTTTTGCAATTGGTGCAGAGAGGAAATGTCTTAACTGCTGTCTTGGCTAAAGAATGGACAAAACCAAGGCAGAAATATTTTACTTTTCTTGCCCCTGGAAACTCTTTGCAAAGCACTTTGTAATCACTTTGGGGATAGATGTTAGGTATCCTTTCACCACCCTGCTATAAGCAAGAATCAAAAGGAAATGGAACACCAGCCAACATTTAGTCAATAATTGGACTTGCTCAGGCAGGAAAGATGGTGCATTATTTTAACAAAGGGGATAGTACTGCATGAGCGAAGCAGAAACAGCAATGCAGCAATAGAAAAAAGCATGTAAAGTCAAATTTACGTTTAATGTAATTTTACTGTAATCATTCTGCATATATATTATTATACATACAGAAATAGAAAAGAACATCTTTACTTAACTATTCAAATATTAGAGCACTGAACAGAACTGAATTTCTGAATGTTCAGTAAACACTGTTCAAAGGAAAATTAAGAGTTTGAAGTAGCACTGTAACATTTAACCAACTTTTTTTTAGCATTCTCTGTTTCTAAAACATTATCAAGTTATGCAGATACCAAATTTGCTCAAATTCTTTCTTCATTCTCCTGAGCAGCAGCATCATGCACTCCTCCTCTGTGGCTTGCTACTGACATGAGCAGAAACTTTCAGAGCTTGTGTTGGCTCAGCAAGTCCAGAAAACCTACTGAATTCACCTTCTGAGGTCCCCAGAGAAGCAGCGAAAGCAGGCTGACAAATTCCTTGTTCCCATAGATCGGTATGATCTTCAAAATGTTGGGCCCAGTCAATTTAATGGTAAATTAAGTTAATTAATTATGATGACACTATTATTCTTCAAGCATTGAGAATTTTTTAAATGAAGGCTTTCTGGACCTTGCAGACTAATGCAACACTCATAGCAAAAATTCTGTCAATTATTTCCCATTCCCCCAGCTCTTCCAAAATATTTTAAGATCACAATATTGACTGAAAGGCATAAAACATACTATAACTGAGGAATTTCTAAGCCAAGCTTTTTTAACCTTTGCTGCTACCATATTTGAGATAAGAATTTTCAAGATTAGGTTACAGAGAGGAAAAAAAAGGTCACAAATTCAGGTCCTTTTGGTATTTTTGGAAATTCAGATTCTGTCCTGATACTTCCACATAAACTTTAAAAAGTTTCAAACAAGTCCTCGAAGTTACTTATATGAGAACTATTAGTCCCTTTTACCATCTAAAATACTCAACACAAAATCGTATCAACTACTTGGGACCATACTCACTACATTTACATGACTGTAGACTCTTTTCCTCAGTTTTTTTTTTTCTTTTTCTCTTTTACCACTTCTCAAGCTTTTCTTTCACAGAATGATCAGACCACACCATTTCTATCTACCACAACACATGTCTCAGTATGCTTACTTCTTGGCCCTCAAAGCCTTCTCTGCACTCTCAAGTTCTCAACACCTCCCAAATTAGTACCACCATATTTTATTTGCAAACATTTGAAACCTTCCCTTCCAGGTCACTACTGAAAACACTAAAATTAGCACTGCTTAAAAGACTGCCATCTCAACTAGCAAGTAGGATCTAGTTAAAAATCAAGTTGCACTAGATGTATTTTACAATTAATATTTTAAATCAAATAAAATGTGGTAATCCACCCCTTACAGGCTCTTTTCCCATTTTATTAACAGAACCTGACTGAGACCACGCAACTCTGAAAACCTGAAAAATAACATTAAGAAAGTATTTACAAAAGCATTATAGCTATTCCGATTTTCAATGAATATATCAGCTATCAAAAAGTAAAACTATAATTGGGTTTTATTTTCAATGGCAATTCTCTTCCACTGAGGACATTGTGAATATGGTTTCAACAACCTAGGATCTAGCTAGTAGCCTATTTAACACCGTTATTGATGAAGGGGATTCCAAAAGCTATCAATATTCACAGGAAATCCGGAAACTAATGTAAATTATATACTGAGGCCACGTGCTAACAGGCTAATGAAAACAGCTATATTTTATTCAAGCATATATTAAGGCTTGAAACAGTTTAGTTATGCCTAACACATTAACAAATATGCAAATAGAGTGAGAATGAAATACACACTCCAACACAGCGCAAAATTCGTAAGACAAGATTACTTAAAATAATGAGGACTCCTCATAACTTGCTGGCTTACAATTTTTCTTCATTCTAAATTGAGGCTTGTACCTGCCTCAATGAGGCCTCCTCCCAAAGATGCTATATGAAGCACCTAAGTACTAAATTTTGATTTTTACTTAATGCATTGGTTTTTTTGCTATCTGAAGTGCTACATACACACATGGCAGTAATAACTACTCTTTACAAAGGATTTTACAAATTGAATAGAGAGATGCTTAAGCCTAGCAGAACAAAATATGCTAACTGAGACAGGAGATGCTGGTCAAGCTAAGGAGGAAGAGGGAACTGCACAGGCAGTGGAAGCAGGGACAGGCATCCTGGGAAGAGTATAGGGAAGTGGTCCGGTTGTGTAGGAATGGGGTCAGGGAGGCGAAGGCGCAGCTGGAGCTTAACTTGGCTAGGGATGCAAAGAATAATAAAAAGGGATTCTACAGGTATATCAGCCGGAAAAGGAAGGTTAAAGAGAGGGTACCCCCGCTGATAAGCGAGACCGGCAGGCTGGTTTACAATGAGGGTGGTAAACCACTGGAACAGGTTGCCCAGAGAGGTAGTGGAGGCCCCATCCCTGGAAACATTCAAGGCCAGGTTGGATGGGGCTCTGAGCAACCTGATCTAGTTGGCGGTGTCCCTGCTGACTGCAGGGGGGCTGGACTCGATGACCTCTAGTGGTCCCCTCCAACCCAAAAAGATGCATGATTCTATGATTCTATGATTCTATAACTTTTATAGTATGTTAATGCTAGTTACAACATGAAGGAATAGACTGAATAAAACAATTTAAATAACACTGCAAATACCTCAGTTTGAAAAAAAAAACCCACTGGCTTTAATAATAAAAAATAAAGTTCTCCAAAATGCTGATGACACTTGTGCTGCTACGACCTTATATCTTTTTTTTTAGTGATTAAATTAAAGGGCTGTTGTTTAGTATTTCTATATTGATAGGGACATTCACTCTATTCTTGGAAATTTTCTGGAAAAAAATGCTGAAAGCTAAGGCCTAGATTCTTCAAAGATCTAATAAACAAGAAATATAACAGAGTTTAGACCTAATCACTGGCTTAGACATGCAGGATATCACACTAGCAGTAAGCGTGCAAAATTCTTGGGAATCTTCAACTTACATGGGGCAGATGGGGAGAACTCTTACAACTGTCACTTCAAGGTAAAATGAGATAACATTGGCAACTAAATATTACTTAAATTTTTAAAACCTTAACAACTGCCACCTACAACCTCAAACTGAGGAATTCAGTCCGGGGGTGGGTGGGGTGGAAGGAGAATCTGTCTTGACTCATGACAGCTCAATGCACAGAAAGATCATAAGAACTGCAAACACCTGTGAAGACCATCTCTCATTTTTTTTGTCTTGCTCCTACTTAATGACTACAATAAACCACTGGATTTGTTTTTTTCAATGCAGATGAGCAGCTCAAGCAAAACATGCAGGTGGGAAGTATACAAATTTTAGAATTTTATATAAAAATTATGAAATTAGAGAAATCACAAGATTCCTATTTTTAACAATTTCAGAATACATGCAGGGAATAAAAAACAGGCTAAATAAAATTTTAGAAGGCAGTTATGATTTAGCCATTTGATTTACTGTGACTTATAGTATTTACCTGTTTCCTTGACAGTTTGTGTTAACAAAAGTTTCAAAGAAAGCTCATGGCACTTTGAAAGTTGTAAATATTAGCATTGAAACATGTATCTATTCTACAAATCCAGTTATATCACAGGCATTCATTCCCCTCATCTACTGACCTATAACCAAAGTGAACAATTTTGGCTATGTCTCCATTAGCAAGTAATCTGGAGCAGTAGAAACGCAACAGTAGATTAAAGCTGCTAGTGCTGACACTCCTATGCTAGCTGTTCAAGAGGGGTTAGCTTGGATTAGATTTCACCTGGTCTCCAAAAGCAAACATCACCATCGCACAGGCCATTCAAAGTTTTTCAGGGATTTAATAATTGATTCAGGCCAGTATGTCCCCACTAGAGACAGAAGAGCACTTTGCACCTGCAGCAGAACTTAAAAACTAGTTTTCTGGGAAAGAAATGTAGTACAAACACCCTGAGCAAGTGTGTGGTAAGGGGAGATAATGGAGAGATTTTCTCCAAAACAGTATCAATGATCCAAATCGTAATAGTAATGCATGCACTGGAATTGCATCCTACCTTTCCAAACCACACTAACCAAAGCAGGTGTCATCTCACAAAACAGAATACTTTGGGGCACTGAAAGACTCTAGAAAAAATTTGTAAGCTTAACTCATCACCACAATAAAAAAAAATAAATTAAGAGATCGTAGTACATGACAATCTACTGGCTATCACAAAAAGAATGTATTTCCTCTATTCCAGAATTCAGCAGAAGACATAAAACTAGATATCCCTATCACATTAGCTTAATTTCTCTTTGCTTCCCTTCTTCACTCCACCTTTTATGTCTTTTTTTTTCCTTTAAATATTTTACTTTTCTTGTTTCTCCCTTATTTCTTTCAGATTTTTCTCTTATTTATTTATTTATTTCCTTGTATTACCTGTGCTATTAAATACAGCAAGAGAAAACTGAAGATTCTGGCGTCTCTGAACTTTCAGACAGAGCTGTAAGTGTTGGTTTTTTAATTTGGAAATTCAGATGGTACAGACTGAGACAGGCATGTAAGCATGACCACTGTGATTTAACTTGCCCTAACTCAAACAAAATTTAAAAGGGCTAAAGATGAACATGTGTTTGCTTCAATCATTCAAATTGATCTCTAAATCCAGTGCTAAGCAACAACGTGAATTGAGAAAAAGCAGATTAATGACACAGGAATATTAGTCTAGTGTAAAACTCAAATTAGCCTGGTTCTAAACATCATCTCAGAGAACAGTCACAAGAACACCATGACAGAAATGCTAAGGGAAACTAATCAAGCAGCTTATGTTATGGAAGAACTTCATTACAGAAATACCAGATAAAAATATACAAAGCTTTTTACCTTAGGAGTAAAGCCAGGAATATACTGCTTAATCCTTGCCTCTTTTTTTTTTTTTTAGATTTCTGAGCTATGTCATTTGTTTATATAATTATTTTATCTTCTAGAATTTAGGTTAAATGCCAGAGTTTCTCTAAGCACAGTAAGTTATAAACAGGATTTTGCCACACACGATTAACTCATTAGTTGCTTAGAATAACCAAAATATTCAGACTCACCAGTTTCACTGACATTCAATATACAGCATCCACATAATTTTCCAGAAGACTTTTGCAAATGAAAAAATGGGCTTTACTCTGCATTTGCTAAAATGTAGAGGAAAAGAAAATCAGATCTCTTTAAAGCAATTCCTAAAGAAAAATTGTCTTTTAAGAAAAACAAAAAGAGCCCCACAAAACAACACTATACAAACTTTCACATGTACATAAATTGAAAATGTTAAGTATAATCACAATCCTTTTCATTTCAGAAGCTTCCTTCTGTGGACCTGGGCTTCCAAGCAAAACCCAGAGTTTGTAAGTAATTCTGATTTTAATTACAAAAAAAAAAATCAGTTAGCAGCAATTTTCATCAACATTAAATACAACTTATTCCACTGATTTTTTTTTAAAACCTTATTAGGCAATTACAGAATTTTAATATGAATTCAATACTACATTTTTAATCCATAAAAATCTAAGAAGCAGTAAATCATTTCATTTACTCCTATACTGAACACAAATTCCATCTTCCAGAAACTCAAATGCCAGACGCTCTTGGGTCACTTCAACACAAAAAACCCCAAATATTTGAAAAGAAAAGTTCAGTGCAATCCTATAATAAGCAAAAGGGAGGGGCAGAAACATTAAGATCATCTTCCACACTATACTTTCTAGCTTCAGCAAAAGAAATTGGAACTAGAAGTCTCCAGCCTGTCTTGTACATCTGTCTTAAATTGTTTCATAATTTGAATCTTTAGACAAACAAGGTGGTGATTTCTCCGACACAGCACCTCTCCCTCCTCTCTGCCTGGCCTAGGGCATACCTTTGCTTCGATCAGCAACTCCACTGCTTTACTTCATTAATTTAAGTCAACTCCTCTCATCCAAATGTAAAACCTAGGATAATTACAACCAAGATAACTAACTGCCCTACAATACTACATTTCCCATTCCTTGTGAATGGGTTCTGACCACACTGCTGCTAGTCCTTATTCATTTGCACTTCTACACAAGGTGTATAAAAACAAATCCAAATAAGAGAGTGGTGTGACTTCACTGTTCTCCTGAGTAAATGTGGTTTTGCCCGAGTAGTGCCATGGGCACGTTTGCAGAGAAGTACAGAGGCACTACTTCAAGCATTCACACATACACACAAGTCAGTAAGAAAGAGTACAACAACTTTGAAATCTCTCTCCTACTTCTACAAATCAGTGTCAAAAGTATTTTCTCTATATTTAGTTCTTTGCTTTTTGTGCTTCTATGAAAAACTTGTATAACTTCTAAGAAAAAAATGTATAAAAATATGTTTTTACATAAGTAAATACAAAAGTTCTGTAACTTAAGAACAGTTTTAAATTAGGATTTTCAGCACAAGTTAAAAAAAGCTCTGAAGAAAAACAAGTAAAAGGACTAATGAAAATGTAAAGGTGAAGGAAAACAGCCCATGGACAAGCAGTAAATAAAGCTGAAGTACGCCCTGAAAAACACAAATTCTTAATAAAACAAATTAGGTCCTCATGGCTTAAAGTTTTCAAGATGCTCAAAGAGAAGTCTTTCATAACTTCTAACCACACACAGTATGCATTGTTCAGAACAATCTTACCTGTTCTGAACACAAGAGCAGCAATAGAGAAGTAAAAAAAAAATCGAAGTATTGAATCAAAAACACAGAACAGTTACAGAAATATACTTCTGACACAGCATTTGAAGGACAGAATCAACAGTAGATGGGGAATGGGGTTAAAGAAAAGCACGAGGAGCACAGAAGGAAGTCTCCTTACTCAGTGTTTGTACCTGACATTACAATGGAATGGAGGAAATTAGGCCTTTTTAACTTCTCACAGTGCAGCCAGAACATGCTCAGTAACTCTGTCTGGTTACAACTAAAAGGACTTGGAACATGTCTACCTCAGCTGATTTGGACAGATGAAATGGATTTAGGCAAATCATTGAAAAGGTACTAACCATATTTTTCAGAAATCTACCATGCCGCCTAATGTAAAAGTTTGGGATAGCACAAAGAAAAAAAGATAGCCTGATACTGTAGCGTAACAGTTTAAGTTTTCTCCTAAAACCTTGAGTGCTTGCTCTAACATATGCAGATGCTCTATCTTTCCAGTAGTAAGATTTTCATTGCATTTTGAACCAAGAAAACAGTATGTTCCTCCCCTTCACCTCATTCTCAGACACAGACTGACTTCTGGTAAAGTTTTAGCTGAAGCAGACATATAATGCAAAGAATTACTGCTCAATGATTTAAGTCTTGATAAATCATAAGCAACCAAAACCAGGGTCTTAAAATAGAAAGTGTCAAGCATCATTAACTACAAGCACTGCTATCGGTAACTCCATGCACGACCAAACATCTCCAATGCTTGATAAATCATTGGGAATATAGGAAGGCTTTCTGCCAGCAAGACAAAATAATCCAGTTTTAGCAAGACTGGCACAATGTCTCATCTACCCGAATAGATTGGTTTCTTGAGATTTTTTTGACCCAGTCAAAAAAAACAATGGAACATCTGAAAAAGTTTAACGATATCTACTTACAAAGAAAAAACATATAAACACATACGTGAAGGCTACAGGAGGCCGTGGCCATCATCCTCACGATACATTGAATCAAAACCCCTTTGTCACTCGTAAGATAAACCATAAACAAACTACCCCATCTGTCATGTGTTTCTCTTTGCGTGGCCATGGATGTACAAAGCAATCAGTAAAGTAACTGCACTGCAAGATAAGACAAATCTTGCAAAGATGAAAATCTGCACCTCCTGGCCCACTTTCAGATGGATAGTACACAGTGTCCTATCAAGGAAGTGGGGAGATGCAACCCTTTCACAAATAAGATGAAATGAACAGAGATACTGCTACTTGAACCTATTAAGATGCATTCTTTTGCTTTCTATATATTCTTATATTAATGGGGGTATTAAGTCCATCTCCACTATAACAAGAGCATCTGTGGAAAAAAAAAACAACCACCCAAAAAAGCTGTGAGCATGGCAAAACATATGCTCATTCACTGCAATGCATCCCTGTGGGGGGATACTCATTCAGTCTCCAGAAACAACAGGGCTACATTAGCACATTTCATTGCTGGGGACAGTGCCATCACAAGATTGGGGTTTTTTTTCCCTTTTAGTTTCCAAGACAGCTTAGATCCAGTTAGTTCAATTGTTTTATTCCATGCTCCAGTGTACAGGATGAAAGCTTATTAAAAAGGTTATTTGAAGTTTATTCTTCCCACACACAACATTAATTTCTATCTCAAATTGAAGCAGAATCTCTACCTTGCCTGAGGTTGAAAAAGAGATGTTTCTGTTTAAAGTGTTAGTGTTCTAGTAGCAATAAAATCTACATACTTACTTAAATCACCTAGAAATGCATTGTGCCTTGTAGAGTGGGTGGATAGCATTAGTAGTCCAAATGTGATGTCATCTGAGCAAAAGTCTTCTTTGGCACAATCTTCTGAAAAACAATAACAAAAAAATCCCACAGTTCTATGAAGATGAATCCATTCAAAACAACTTTTAGAGAGCCCTTGATTGCTGCTCTCTGTTTTCTCTCCTGCCATTTCAGTCACCTTATTTCCATCACTAAACCATCCACAATTTCACTTTCAACTCAGCTATTCAACATAATGAAGTAAATATATATGGAGAACTTCAAAATTGCATACCACCTTTTACGTAGCTCTGGCACTGCCCGAAATCCAAATTTGAGAGACAAATGCAACAGCCTAATGGTAACATTAAAGTCACAGTTCTACCACTGCCTACAAAACATTAACATTACAATTATTATACTACAGTTGCTTTGGGGTATATTATGACCTTGCAGAACATCAATAATACACCAGGCACATTTTTGGAAAGAAAATACATCAATACGATCTTAACTCTGTGTGTGTGTGTGTATTATGGTTCAAATGGGACCTGTGAACTACCTCAGAACATAGTTTAAAACTCTCAGAGAACACGACACACAACAGCATAAGACACAAACATCTTCCCCTCACTAATGAAAAACTAATTTCAGTAAACTGTACTGAGCCGAAGCTAAGTACATAGATATTTCTATACACAAACATCTATTCCACAAAGAAATAGCTCCCTGTCTACTACAGATCACAAACTCTGTATTCCTATATACAGTGCTGTGTTTTAAATACGCATGCACTAATTTGGTAATGTAATCTTACAGCTGACAATCCTGCTGGAAAAACTACTGCTAGTTATGACTATTGATACTCTATTCAGCACTCCCATGTGGCAAAGTATATCCTTTAAGGTATATATAAATCTATTGCCTTTCATTTTATGCAAGGATAGGCAGATTTCCTTTGACATATGATTAAAAAAAAGGCAACTTCAAAACCCCTGTTCTTTACTACTTTGTCCCTCAGTACATACAGCACAGAAAGACGACACTGCTAGGCTACAGAAGAATCATAGAATCATAGAATAGAATCATAGAATGTTTAGGGTTGGAAGGGACCACTAGTGGTCATCTAGTCCAACCCCCCTGCAGTGAGCAGGGACACTGCTAACTAGATCAGATTGCTCAGAGCCCCATCCAACCTGGCCTTGAATGTTTCCAGGGATGGGGCCTCCACTACCTCTCTGGGCAACCTGTTCCAGTGTTTTACCACTCTCATTGTAAAAAATTTCTTCCTTACCTCTAGCCTGAACCTACCCTGTTCTAGTTTAAAACCATTTCCCCTTGTCCTAACACAGCTGGCCCTATGAAAAAGACGTTCCCCATCTTTCCTATAGGCCCCCTTTAGGTACTGGAAGGCCGCAATCAGGTCTCCCCGTAGCCTCCTTTTCTCCAGACTGAACAAGCCCAACTCTCTCAGCCTGTCCTCATAGGAGAGGTGCTCCAGCCCTCGGATCATTTTTGTAGCCCTCCTCTGGACCCGTTCCAACAGTTCCATGTCCTTCTTGTGCTGAGGGCTCCAGAGCTGGACGCAGTACTCCAGGTGAGGTCTCACCAGAGCTGAGTAGAGGGGCAGAATCACCTCCCTCGACCTGCTAGCCACACTCCTCCTGATGCAGCCCAGAGTACGGTTGGCCTTCTGGGCTGCCAGCGCACATTGCCGGCTCATGTCTAGCTTTTCATCCATCAGTACCCCCAGGTCCCTCTCGGCAGGGCTGCTCTCGATAAGAATATCGAATAAGAAGAATGCCAATGTTTGAAGAAGGCCTACTGGACAAACCTAATGGAATAAGAAAGGTAGACCATTATCATCTACTTATCTACTTTTCTATGCAATAAAATGAAATATTCTAATTTTAGAAATCAATGTTTTGAATCAAATACCAGTATATGGATAAGAAATGGCAAACTATACTCTATGGGGCAGGAAAAGTGTCTAGGTGCCATTTTAAAAAACAATCTATACATGTTTATGAGAGATTATTTTTTGTTTCTTATACCAGTCAGCAATACAAAGATTAACATAACTCATTATAAATCAACCCTAAATTTAATTGTCCATATAAAGGCATTACCAGTTTAACTAAAATAATTTTGAAAAGCAATTTCAGTTAATGAAAAAGTTTGTGATCCTTTTGACTTAAAATGATAGTGCCTCAACTAGCTTTGATGTTAGAGGCTTCTATAGCCCCACCTCAATTGCACTGAAACTCATAAAAAGTCCTCCAACTTACACAAAAACTGGGTGTCATAGGAGGTAGTGACAGAGCAACATGAATGTCTGAGATTGAATTTTCAGAAACAGTTGCCTGTTGTTTTGCCACTCACTTTAAAAGCAAGTTAAACTGACAGCTAAATTTCTTAAGGGGTTAAAAAAAAATTCTTAGTACTAGAATTTGTGTCCTAACTTTCCTGCCAAACCGATCAAACCAGCACATTCTCAAATCTTTTTCCCCGACTCAACTTTTTTTTCCTTCATAAAAGCCAAACCCATCAACATAATTTAAAAGTTTCTACATATCCTGCCCCATTTCCTAACACCTTCTAGTTACTCTTCATCTCAATTCAGACTACTCTTCTGATTTTATTATGCTTTCCAGATCCTGCAAAATAACACATTTTCCCTCTTTTCCTTCAAATCCCTATACTACTTGGACTTGCTTAATGCTCTTTTTTGCTTCTATATTCCCATCTTCCTCCTTGCTGATCTACCTTATATTCTGTTCTTAGAAATGACAACTTGTTTAATTCACTCGCTATGACTCACTTACTCATTTGAATCCTCATCCCCCTTTCTGAGGTCATTCTCCTCATTTTCTATGTCAGTGAAATTCAGATCACAAAGCTCTTCCAAGGCTGGTATCTTATTATCTATGAAACATCATGCAAAGCTTTAGTGAAGCACAAAATGTTTAACTAATGCTTCTGAGCTGGAAGAAAAAAACAATTTGAAAAAAACTGAAGTATAGTACTTTAACAACAAAAACATTTTCAGAAAACATATTTTCTGAGATGCTGAGATGTTAAGAAACTCTAGTTTCATTCTCAACCATGCAACTGCTAGTAGTAGCTTGATTACATGTAATGAATGTTGCTGCTGCGGATGGCAAGAAAAACTTTATTAAATCATATTACTACATTAAAATTGACAGCAATGAAAGTGTGTGTCTGCGGCGGGGAGAATCTGCATTCCTATTCTGACAGTTCTTGGAAGCTGTGATTCATGCTACTACTTGCTTTTCTACTCACAGTCAGAGGAAAATCCGGTTTCCTTTAGAATATTTGTTGTTGCTATGAAAACTACTTTAAACCAAGCACAAGTCAAAGTCACCTAACTATTTTGCAGTCTATTATGACATTTTAAAACAGAAGTTTTAATACTTGCAATTAATGAATTAGAATTTTTAAATACTATAAAATTTGTGAAGATTATATTGGTTACTTAAGGACTGAAAAGTATGTTTGACATTATTGAGCAGGGAATTCTCTAGAAATGAAAGTAGCAAGCTCATACAGTTTCCTTCACTTTCACCATTACTAAGTCCATGAGAAGCTTCTCTAAACCCATCAGCAGGACACGCTACAATCCTCCACTGAGACCTGATAAAATCTTACAAGTTTAACATATTGAGGTAAATTTCAGTCTGCTGTTTATAATAATTCATAGGTAATGCAAATATAGTCAAGACAGGAAAGAACTAGAGAAATGTCATTCTAGACAGAAGTCCAGCCCCTTCTGCTTTTCAACTAAAAGCTCCATGTTACACGACAGAGGAGTGGGCTTACAGGAAATCCCATTTGGGAGGCACTATCTTTTGTTCTTATGCTGACAGAAAAACCTTATTCTTTGGCTATTACTGGACATATTTCATACAGTAACTGGTATAAACACGAATCTTTAGACAGCACCCTTTCAGTTTTACCTCTCCACTATTAAAAGCACTTACTCGTTACGGCCTTTAAATAGAAAAGTCCTCTTCCTTAATCTCAAGTTACACTTTCTTTTCCTCCTCACTGCTGAAAGTGAGGTCTAAGTTCCAGTATTTTCAAAGAAATACACGAAAACTGTTTTTTTCCCCAAAACATTGGGAAAATAGGAATTTAATCACAGTTTAAAGCTATTGATTTAATTTCAGAAGGAAATTCTACCAGCTTATCGTTGAGTTCTTCAGCAGGCAATAAAGCACAGTTCTGATAGCTCTATTCTCCTCTGCCCCACCAGGAGAAGCCAGCGTCCCCTCACGTTGTCTCTCTGACACACCACAGATATTCTCAGTCTCCATCCCCTTCCAAAACAGCCCAACATTCTGCCTGTCTCCTCAGGCCCCGTTGGCACATACAACCACCTCCAGACCCAGCACGCGGAAAAAAACAGGTCAGTGCCAAAACTTGCATTGCATGATCCTCTCTTGAGACAGAGGGCAGTGACACATTTCTCTCTACCCAGTTTGCCTATTTTCCCAAAACCTGTAGAAACATTACGGTCTTTGAGATTTCAAACCCTCCTACAAACATGGCTGCAATTGGTCAATGATTTTAAAAGCCATTGGCAAATATGTAAAGAAAGATTGAGAGAAAACAAGGAAAAAGCATAAGTCACATTTTCTTAGGAAATGGGGCTTAAAAAAGCATCTCCCTACAGCTTTTAATGGAGAAATTTTTTTTGTTGTTTACTGAGCCAAGGGAAATAAGCAGATTTTGGCAAAATATTTCCCAATTTCTCTGTTTTTTCACAACTTCATGCTTAGGTTTCAAATATACCTTTAAGGGACTAAGGACTGGGAAATTTACTCCAGGTAACAAGACAGGTTTTCTGTCAATCAGATGATTGATGAAAACTCAAAATAACCCAAACATTTGGCACTTCTCTGTCAAGATCCATCTGAAAAATTACAAACCTTCTACCTTACCACACCAGCAGGAGTTTACCCCCTCTGAATTCACAACCACCTTCTCACCAGCAGCCACCAAACTGATGGAATATTATTCTGTCAGGGTGCACGTCAGTAACAGCCACAACTAAAAAGGCA